TAATCATATGCTACCTCTTGAAATGGCTGAGTATCAACTAATTCTTTTTGGTCCAGTAACTCTGTGTATTCTTTCCATCTTATTTTAATGCTTCCCACAGTGTTCAGTATTTTGCCCATAGAATCTTTCAATATTTGCAACTCGAGGGTTGAACTTTTTCTTCAGTTCAGCTTGAGATATGCTGAGCGTGTTGTTGTTTTTGTGATAGAAATATTTAGCAATCAGATTCTTGTACATTTGAGTAGTTATCTATAAACATATTAACCTAGCTAAAATCTATCTGATTATATGTTATTTTAGATGGCCTGCCACCCTACCTAGATTATATATGATTTTAGATGGCCTGTCGCCGGATACAAATAATAAAGAAGTTAGGGAAAATTGTAGCTTCCAGCATCACAACAAGAGGCAAGTCACCATAGTATGACAGATGAATGGTGGTTTAGAAATAGAGGAGTCAGAAAAGAATAAGAGGAGGAATTGTACATAAGGTATTTTAGTGGCAACTATATGATTACAAAGACCCATTATGAAATCCAGCTATTGTTACTCAAATAAAAAGAGTATTATACCAGTAGAATTATATATTGAGCTAATGATGTATATGGACTAGATATTAAGTTGTTAATTACACATTTTTATTTTACAGTAAGAAACCAGGGAACATTATCAACCTTTTGAAAACTCAACAAACATTACCATTTTTCTACTTCTGTGAACAGGTAAGACCCTCTCTACTATTAAAAAGTTATCAGAATTGTGAAAAACTACTCTTTGCTAACCATATGAGGGGACTTCAAAAAGGTCCTGTAATATCCATTATCTTTTAACTTAAGTTCCCACAGCCTTTTGAAGTTCATGTGGGTGTATACATTTACATATACAAACACATATTTACATTTATCAATATTTACAAGGGCCTTAAGTAACTTTTAGTTTGATGTGATAAAGGAGAAATACACTTATGAATACTATGGTTAATAAGCTTTGAGTTATTATAATAGAGCTTCCTAGTGTTTGGACTGATTTAATAGTAAAAGAATGTTAAGACTCCTCTCTGGGAAACAAGGATGGACCTGAAGCTGCTTCTCCTGTTGTTATACTCACTCACAGCCCTCGGACAACAGTAATAGTTCTTCCCCTCTCACTGGTGCCAGGTTTGGTGTTATGTAGATCACTTTACATAAATTAAATAGTTTATGTCTCCCTGAAACCTCCTGAATTAGATATGAGTATCATCTCTATATTGTAGACCAAGTAGAAAGAGGAGGCAGCTAACTGAAAGCGTTCACCCAACATTGTGCAGGCCTGGGAACAGCAGAAACTATAAGGAATATCGGACCCAGCTTTTATTGTGAAAGCATTTTCATGGTGTGATAGAAGTAACTAGCAATCAGATTCTCCTACATTTTGAGTGGTTATCTAGAAGCACGCTAACTCGCTTCAAGCTATCCTAATAAAGAAGAAGAAGAAAAATCCATTCACAGGGAGATGCGTAGGAAACAAACGTACTTTATGTCAGCACTTTCTACTTACGGGGTGTTGTGTGAGTCAACAAAGGAAATGACACTCTTGAGCTCAGTTTATAAGCCAAAGCAATATTATTTACCTTTCTTTAGCTTTCTTTAAATTCAGAATTCCATTTATAAGAAGTTCTTTGAGTCAAAGCTGATACTTTGCTTCCCGGTTGGCTGCTATTGCCCAGTAGTAATGGCAGAAAAATATTATAAAGAGAATCTTAACTTCATTTCTGATTTTTAGAAATGCTGAATATATAATCTTAAAATTGACAAAAGTAAGATTCACCTTACTATTTTTATATAAATTATAATCCAGAAATTTATAAAACTTTAAAAGTAAATAGAGAAAATATCATACTACCAAAGTACATGCCATAAATTTTTTTTTAATATGAACATTCTACTATATTCAAATGTTTAAAAATGAAATCATGGGAAGGACAAAAGTTTACCTTCCTTCCTTCCCACTTTCTTACTAAACCCACTCATTGCCCACACATAGGGACAGTATAGGACAAAAGAGACTTGCCTTTGACTGCAAGGCTGTAACTATTGACAGGAGCATCCTGCCTCGCCTTTCTCCCTCAGACCAACCGGTGGGTGCCAACCACCCACTTTCTGGTAACTCATTGTACCACCATGCTTTTTCTTTCTTCCTAAGAGATGTCAAGGTCAAGTCCTAAATTTGATTTGGGGGAAACAAAAAACTTCCCATGGATGTTTTAGTACTTTCAGGCAGGTACATAAAATAATGTCAGATAATTATATTTTAAAAGCTTGCATAAATGGTATACATATCTTGCAACTGACCACTATATTTAGAATATTAATATTAGTACCTAAAGACCAAGGTGTCTCATTTTAAGCATGTCAATCTTTTAGTGCTTCTCAATTACTGTCATTGAGTCAACTCTAACTCACAGTGACCCTAGAGAACCAGGTAGAACTATCCCTGTGGGTTTCCAAGACGACAGTAAGACTTTACGGGAGTAGAAAGTCCCATCTTCCTCTCTCAGAGCAGCTGGTGCTTTTAAATCGCCAACCTCCTGGTTGGGGACCCAACTTGTAACTTAATACACCACCGTGCTGACTATAAATTATTCTTACTGCACATGCGGGTTAAATGTAACTAGCAAAGCAGCTTTGGGATTTGACTATAAAGAATCCAAAGTTCTTAATATGTGAGGACTTGCCAAGCTGATTTACGTTTCATTTCTATCTCTGAGAATAAGAAAAGCATTTTTATTGACTATGAAGATCATATTTGTCTAATGAGATTCATAATTTTCACTATTTTTGCCACAACATAATAATTAAACTCTGCTTTATTTCCCCAAAGATGAAACATTGACTATTCCCAAATACAAAATGAATATGACTTTTGAAATTTAAAATATACATAAAAAGAAACTAGTTTTATTTGATCCATTTTAATTAGTTACCTTCCCATAGAACTTATTAAAAAGAATTTTAATAATATGGAGTCTTAATTTATAGTGCCAAAAAACAAAGAGACATATTGGGAATGCCTTAGCTCAGTAGAAGTGAGAAAACCATTTTAAAAGGAGTAAATGTAAATATTTTAATTTATTCTTTTGTAAAACCTCTTAACTAGCAATACTAAGACTGTCCCTCACCTTATGTGACTTTGATTACTTTGTATCTTCAGCATTTTCATCATTTATAGATGGGCAAAATTTATCTGTAATGAAAAAATAAGTTTTGATAAAGAGAGACTTACTGGGCTTTTTGTTATTGCAGTTTATTATGATTCCCAGAAAGAGTTTGTGTTGTTGAGAACACTTGATAGGAGAAAGTCAAATAGTAGAGGACTAGAGTCCACCTTATGGTTACTGAGAAAAAGAAAAGAGAAAGAAAAGAAAACCTGGTATTTTCATTACTCTCTTTGACAATCAGTACCTTGACTTGCACTGATGGCTATGTGATCAGCATTCAACTCCTGTCCCATAGCACTCCTTGTGAATAATTTTAAAGGCAGATTTCGCTTTCTAAAAATAAATTCTATTGGAAAATTAGGATGTCAGGTGTTCCTTTTATGAAAGACTATCAGTATGATCAGCTGGTCTCCAGTCATGCCCAAACTCCAAACTACTCGGACTCTTATTGAGTAAGAACCCATTCCCTTGGGGGGGGGGTTGTGAAGAGGGGAATCTTTCATGGTGAACTAAAGACAGAATGAGGGAGAGTTGCCCACATACTCTGGCTGGAGTTAAAATAACAATAACAGTCCTCCTACTTAGCAGGCTGAGTCATGAGCACACTCTACTGGTTTCTCCGCAATTCTTAGCAGATTGTTTGGGCTGGAAATGTGTAGGCAGAGGTGGGCACCACCTGCTGTGAAGGCTGCAGTACTTGTTTGGAGAGTGCTGATGGAAGTCTGGTCTTTTAACAGTTTGGCCAACTGGAGCTAGGGGAGGTGTGCTAGGCCGGATTGACTGGAGAAGCAAATCCCATGACAGTCAGATAAATGTAGAAATAGCTTTTTATCAAGAAGTTAACGTATCAGGAAAATATCCCAGCCCA